AAATTAAGATGGAAAATGGAGGAAGAAAAGTAGGACACTATGTTGGAATATGGAGCGGAGAGGGAGGCATATAGAAAAGTTGACCACAGAGAAAACTGAAAGGTTGAAGCTGAAATACTGACAGAGCTAAATAGAAACAAAGGAATGAAATAAGAGAAGGAGGAGAAAATCTGGGAGATGGTGTAAATATTCTACATCAGACATACTGTTGTAGAAAAAATCTTGTTCAAAACAGAAGCACATATGTTGTTTGAGAACATGACTGAGTTGGGGGTGGGGGTTAAGAGACTTTGTTGTAGATGCAAGATGAGATTAGGATTTCCAAGTACAGAAAGGGTGGGATAACTTGTCTTGTTTTTGTGTCTTTGTTCCTCATTATTATTAGTATTTGGCATGGTTTTTATCTTTAAGTGATGGACAGGCACCAGGACATTGGTGGTATGTGTTCATTCATGCTTTTTCATAGAGCATAACATTTTGCTGGCAAGTGACACATATCAGATACGTTGCCATTTTTCATAACTAGGATCACAGAAGTAATTTGAAGTTGGTAACAGGATTACCAGAAAAATAACTGGGGCATTCAGGGATGTGCTGTTACATGGTGGGCATGTCTACATGAGACGCAAACTGTGCAGTAGCCTAGTAACACTGCGCAGTAGCACGTCACAGCAGACAGTACTGATACACTACTGCTCAGTATTATTAAGCTGCAGCACAGTAGTGTCACTAAAAGAGGCGTTTGCCAGTGCTACTGCGCAGCAACTCTGGTTACTACATATTTATTTCTTCATCATACAAGTACTAAATTAAATTCGCAGTAATCACTGCATGAATGAACGTGTAGATGCACCCACTGTGTCCTCCCTCCCCCCTACTTCACACATGACTGTACCTTTGGCTGGCTAGTTATGGGCCTATTTGGGGACAGGAACTTTTGGATACATTTCTTCTCTTCTTTCCATTCTCTTCCTTTTGGTCCACCCTATCACCACAAAACGATTTGGTGGCAGGGACAAGAGCTAACTAATTGGCAACTGGTAATTTCCCCTTGTATTTTGATTTACTTGAGTTACTGAACGCAGCTAAGTTAAAAAGATGGCCTACAGATTCTCCATTAAGGAAACATAAAATTGTTAAATGGTAGCAACAGCACTGTGAACATAAGTATATAAAAAAGACTGGAGACTGCAGATACTACAGCAGAGGGAGTCATATAAGTACCTATGGTAAAATAGATTTAAGGACTTACTTAAAGAGTCTAACCACTATATTACCTAAGTTGCAGTGCTTGGCTCTCATAGTGGAGTCCTGAAGTCAGAATTTTGCACTCGGACTCCCTATTCAGTGGGCGTGTCTACACGTGCATTTACGCCAACTTAAATTTACTGCACAGCAAATTACTGCGCAGTAAGTGGGAATAGGCAGGTGTCTACACGTTCAAGCACATTAACACTGTGTGTGGACTGACTTGGGACTAAAGTTAGTCTGAAGTCAGTCCACACACACAGTGTTACTGTGCAGTAAGGTGTCTACATGTGCATTCCTGCGCAGTAACTAATTGGGTGTAAATTTGATACCTGCATGATGCAGGTATCAAATTTATGCTCAAGTTGGTGTAAGTTGCCATATTTACTGCATCATACAGGTGTGCACATATAGATGCACACCTCTACTGCACAGTAATTTCAGTTACTGCACAGTAAATGTGCACATGTAGATGTGCCCATTATAGAAGCAAAGTTAGACATATCAAATGAATGATCCAAAAACCAAGTGCACGGAGCAGAGAGCTACTTAGAGGTACCCTACAGGAAATCTTCAGTACCGGATCCTATCTTAAATTCCTCTGCTTTTTCTGTTTTTGGTGCTGCCTAAATTATGGCTATAGGAAAGTCCATCTGTCTGCTTGGGTTCCAGAGCCAGCAGCTGGTGCCTGGAATACAAGATTCCTTGGGTCAGAAAATAAAGGCTGATGCTGTACTAGCCTAGTGATCAGGACGTTCAGCTGATCACTGTTCCCAGGGTTATTGATGTTCATTTTTTTTTAATACAGTGGCCTGTCTAATGTTGCCTAGGCATCTAGTATTTAGGTACCTTCGAAGGCTTGGTGGACACTGAGTACAGGGGCTTCAGAAAGGAATTTTGGACTTTTGATTTGGTGTTTAGAACCACATGCTAAAGGTACCTAACTCTCATTTGTGGACAGGTTCTTTGGGTAGATGTGACATCTTTTATTAGACCAATTAAATAGTTGGAAAAAATGTTCTTTGCAAGCTTGTGGGCACAAACACCCTTTTTTCAGGCATAGGGAGAGTCTTCTGGTGATGTGGGCGCTCTCCCATTTGGGTGCTTAACTCTCACTGCAGTCTGAGCCTAAGCCAATAGCTGAATATTAGCCTCATTCTTTGGTGGCTCTACCATTAAGTCCATTCAGCTTCTTGTTGTATAAACTCCCATACTGGAATATAAATATAATCTTCATATGTTCACCTTATTAACTGATAAAAAATGAAAATAATACTGGGGAGGAGGGAAACAACAGAAGCAATCCATGTTACTTTGTTTTGTTTGTCAAAAAATGTATTGGCTTTCCATTGCTTTGAAAATACAAAAACTAATATTTAAATTCAAGCACCAAAGAACTGAACATCACATTGTATTGAAATGTTTTACTGAAGCTCATTTCTAGAGCATCTGATCAAATCTTTTTAGGTGCTATTCAACTCAAACCCAGAATTATATTTACTGCTTTGTATTGCTAAGGTTGAACTAAAGCTGATGTTTAATTAGACAGGGACAGAATTTAGTCAGCTGATCGTATCATATTGCGAACACATTTCTTGTAGCTGATAAATTTTGTAAATTTCTTGTGCAAAGTGCTAACTGGTTCAGTCAGCCCTCTGCGATGCCACAATCTATAATTTTATTTATCTGATGCAAAAGTAAATATATTAAACTAAAAGAACGGCATTATGATCAAGTAAGACAAATTCTTGGTTCCTCTCGTGGGGTGAGGGGGAGGAACAAAAAGCAAAATCCAAACAGCGTCTCCACCTTTTACATCTTTTCCAGTATACTAAGCCAAGTACAATGATGTCGTGATCATGAAAGGTTAGAACAAAACTGAAAAATAAGCAACAGCGTCAGCAAGGAACTGCCACTTCAACCCATTGGCTTATTAGCTAGTATCTGCAGTTTTAGCTCTGCAGACATTTATTTTCTAAAAATAAAGTGAAATTATCATAATGCCTTCTTTCCTTAGTTAAATAATAACTTTATCGCCTGGGAACATTTATCTCTAGTTATCAGACTCCCTATTAGATGCATATTGCTATTAGGGGTTCTGACTATTAGATGGCAAGTATTTAAATGTTAAATAATGGCCTTTTTTGACACTTTTCCACTTTACTACTCCAGTAGGAGCTTTTGCTATAAAAGAAATAAGACTAGCAGGCTGAAACATGCCCATCCACCTAGCACATGTCCACAAGCAATTAATAAAGAGCGCCAAAATCATTAAATTTAAATACACAGCTTGGCGTTCCCCCCCCCCATAAAGTTCTGTGAGGAATTTCTAATGGAAAGTTTTCTGCCTGCAGTCACCCACCAAATTCAGTAATTTTTGCCTTCAGAAAGGAAGAGAGGCTATCGCCCAGGTGTTTGCCTGTGAGTTAATAATATGTGGGTGGGTGGGTGGTGTAGTCCTTAGTCAATGCATTTGGTATGTGGGGAGTGGAATGACTGCAGCTGCAGTGGCTCTTGACAGTGTGTCCTAAAACTGGATTAAATAAAGAAAACAGTAATTTCCAAGGTTATCCTTTAGGCAAGTGGTTCCTAGTCTGGTCGGACCCCAGGTGCCCCTCCAGCCCGGCTTCCAATTACACTTGGACTCTTGGGGGGCTCTTCAAAATCAATAAAACCATTTAATTGCTGAGCAAGACCACCTAAGTGAAGGAGCAATCCCATTGGAGACCCCCCACCCCAGGTTATGATTTCCAAGTCTTGCAGGGGGGCTCTCATCTCTTATGGAGGGGCTCCAGCACTTCTGGTATCCAGTTTCGAAACCAAATCTCTAGGTTGCGGGGCTGCAGCAAGCCCGATCCCGCGCACCTCTACCTCCCCCTGCGGCACCCGGGGGCCGCGAGAACAGCCAGCGCAGCGCCCGGCCGGGCGGGGGGCGGCGGCCCCGGCTGATCATTAACAGCGGGCGGGTGGGGGCGGG